CATCTCTCAGAGCTGAGGATTGTGTTAATGGGGTATAAACTTTCTGGTAAGAGTTCAGCAGGAAACACCATCCTGGGCAGAGAGGAGTTTGATTTGAAGAGATCTGCTCAGTGTGTGAGGAGACATGGAGAAGTAGCAGACAGACACATCACTGTCATTGAAGCTCCAGGATGGTGGATTAATGAACCTGTAGCGTTCAGTCCTGAGCTACTGAAACAGGAGATTGTGCTTAGTGTGTCTCTGTGTCCTCCAGGACCACACGCTGTACTACTGATCATACCTGTGGAAACTAGATTTAAAGATTATCTAAGAAAAGCATTGCAGGGGCATCAGGATCTTCTCGGTGAGAGAGTCTGGAGTCACACTATAGTGCTGTTCACTCATGGAGACTCTCTGTTAGACACATCTATAGAGCAGCACATTGAGAGTGAAGGGCAGGATCTCCAGCGGCTGCTGGACAAATGTGGGAACAGATATCATGTTCTCAACAATCAGAACAGGAGTGACCACACTCAGATCGAGGAGCTGCTGGAGAAGATTGAGGAGACAGTGGCACAAAACAACGGCTGCCATTTTGAAATAGACAGAAAGATTTTACAAAGAATCAATAATAAAAGAAGAGCAAAAGAACGAATGCAGCAAGAGAGAGTGCACATTAGATCACAAACAAGTGAGTGAAATCATGAAATTGTATAAGGATCTACACATAATCTCAGATGTGTTTCCTTTCATTGTTTGTTTAGTGCTCTTCAGTCAAGTTTTAAATAGTTTAGTGTCTCCATCACTATATTATACAGGTGTATTAGGACAAACATAAACGGTATATTCAGCACTAACACTTATTACTTTAGATTTTTAGATTTTCTCAGATGGACTCCCATCCAGATACAACTCTCAAGAAGGGTGATATCTACTGACTTTAGAGAAAAATCAGCTAATCAGCTATGTTAATATTGTTGACATAATAGATACACTCCATTCATATGTAAGTTTTTTTAAAGGGGTCATGACGTTGCTAAAAAAGAACATTATGTTGTGTGTTTGGTGTAATGCTATGTGTTTATGCGGTTTAAGGTTAATAAAACACATTATTTTTCACATAATGTACATTATTGTTGCTCCTCTATGCGCCGCCTTTCTAAAATGCATCGATTTTTACAAAGCTCATCGTTCTGAAAAGCGAGGTGTACGCTGATTGGCCAGCTATCCAGTGTGTTGTGATTGGCTGAATGCCTCAAGCGTGTGACGGAAATGTTACACCCCTTAACATACTGTGATGCTCTGTGTCCCGACGCGACAAGACAAAACCAATAAAACCCATTACAAGCGAGGCATTTGATGCATCCAGTGGGGACATAATTACTGATTATAATGACTTATACTGTCTTTTTACGCGTTGCGTTGCGTATCACGCTGCGTAAACATAAGACCATGTCTGGAGAAACGACAAACAAGCGCTACTCTACACTGCTCAGAACTCACGTTTGAATCGTCAGTGGCAAATTCTTTAAATATAAAAAACGTACTTACAGGCTGTGAGTCAGAAGCACCAGCCTGTCCTTGCAAAGTTTGAACTGCCCCACTTTATAAAAACAGACACCGGCATTGTAGGCTACTCTCACAGGAAACAGTCCTCAGCCTCCGCAAAATGCGCTGCACACATCTGAATATTTTGGTTGAACTGTTCTGGAACAGTGTTGTAAATTCAACTTAACCAGTGATTTCTAGTTGTGTCCTCTTTTGGAAGGCCAAACACAGCTTTCACAACGAAACACACAGCGTCACACACTGCGGGCTTGAGTGAGCGGCGGCGAGCTTGAGAACGCCATGGCCGGCAGATTTGACGAAGGAGCGGCTGGCGGGGTTGCAGCAACCACATGTGACGACCCCGGGCTGGACTCCGCTTCGTCCACGGTGAAAGCCGATCCGGCGATTCACAGCGCGAAGTTGATGTATTTCCTCAGCGACCAGCACGGATCAGCTCTAGGCATGACGAAGCGGATATCGTCCTCTTTTGGAAGGCCAAACACAGCTTTCACAACGAAACACACAGCGTCACACACTGCGGGCTTGAGTGAGCGGCGGCGAGCTTGAGAACGCCATGGCCGGCAGATTTGACGAAGGAGCGGCTCCAAACAAAGTAGTTTCACTTTCACAAGGAAACACACAGCGCCTTCACGACATGGCGGCGGCGGCAGCAACAATACTACAGCGAGAATAAAAGTTACGCCTTCTTTCTTTGCGTGAACATTTGGGCGGTGTTAGAACGATCCGTTTTAGGAGGGCGTGGTTGACTCTTAACTTTTATAAAGAATATATTTTTGGATTTGAGACTTTAGTCTTTGCAACTTTACAGATCTTCTTTATGCACCAAAAGCTTGTAACACTCCAAAGAGAAAGGAAAAATTGAAATCGCATCATATGACCCCTTTAAAGGTGTCTGCCAAATGCATAAATGTAAATGGTGTGCAAATAACCTGCTCTCTGCTTGCATTATTACAGTCAGTGAACAGGGATCTTATTCATGGTCTCTAAGAAGTTCAGCACGCGGTTCAGTTGTATCACAATCAGAAGCAGACAGTAGGTCAATTTGTGGCTCATCAAGTTCCAGAGATTCATCGCACACCTCAAGATATGAGACAGTGGTTCCGAAAATATGTAATAGCATGGAATTTCCACCAAACAGTGAGTGTTTTTGTATTATTTAGAACTTTCCACCAGTAATGTTCCATTATGAATTTATATTGAATTCATTGTAGTATAATTAAATTCCCTATTACAAAATTTTTAGTTTTTCTTATAGCATGATGTAAATATGTCTTTAAATTTTGTGAAATGTGATTTGTTGTATACAAAAATAGCATTTTAGATAAAACAGGGTTGTCAAGTAAACAAACCTTATGTAAAATATAAAATACAGCAGCTAATGTAATATTAAGTTTGACCTCCTGAGACTGATGATCAGTGTTATTTGAAAGTTAAGCACCTGCTTTCACTGAACATTTAAAGTTTCATACCTTATATATATCAACTCTACATAGATGTAGTAAGTGTTGATTAGATATATACATTTCAAAGATAAAATTATTTTATAAATCTTTATCTGGTTAATAAAATTATTAGTGTCTTGAAAGTCATCTGCCATTAATCAATTCTTTTCCTCCTTTCTTCATGCCAAAGGCTGCATTTATTTTAGAGAATATATTGAAAATGTTAAATATAAGAATTTATTTCTACAGCAGTTTCTAAAAGGTTTCTGATTCTATTTTTCCCCAGTGAGTGGAGATAAGAGGTGGGACATGAAGTCTATAGGAAGTTCTGCTTATGGTTCATTTGGATCACTATCAGGAGCAGACAGCAGGAACATTTTGGGATTATCACATTCCAGAGATTCATCGCACACCTCAATACATGATTCAGGGGACCTGAAAATATATAACAGCATGGAATTACCTCCAAACTGTAAGTGTCTTTTTTTATTTATTATTTTTAATAATAATTATTATTATACACTTACCACCAATACAATACACTTTGGTGTCCCATTAAATCTTTTGAAGAATTGTTGGCTTTAATCATGGTATTTATATTTTAGACAGTGTTAATTATCTGAAAATTGTTATTGTGGTCTCTTCCACCTCTTGACCTTCTTGACTGTATCTAACAATGAATACAATGTCATCATTTGAGATATCAAATATCTCTCTCTATATAATTTCATAGGAAATTATTTTATAAGTCCTATCTGGTTAATAAAGCGTTGTTGCATAATGTTTGGAAAGTCACCCATCATTGATTCTCTTGACAAAAAAAAAATTATTTGCTTCATGTACTTATTCCATACAGTAGGCTACATTTACTTTTAGAGAAAACTGAAACCATTAAAATCAGATATTTTTCTACAACAGTTTCCCACAAAATTTTATTCCTTCATTCATTCATCCTTCCATCCAGTGTGTGAAGATGACAGGTCAGACGCATTGTCTCTGGGAAGTTTAGCTCATGGTTCAGTTGTATCAGGAGCAGAAAGCAGGTCATATTTTGGATCATCACGTCCCAGAGATTCATGGCACACCTCAAAATATGAGTCAGGGGTCCTGAAAATATGTAACAGCATGGAATTACCAACAAACTGTGAGTGTCTTTTGTTTTATTCAGAACTTTCTACCATTGCTGTACACTCTGGTTTCCCATTATGAACTGATATTGAATTAAGTGTAGTGTAATACAATTCCCCATTAAAAAAAAGTGGAGTCTTTCTTATAGCATGGTAAGAAAAGATAAGATATAGCATGATTAGATTCTTTAATTCTGGAAAATATAATTTTGTTGAAAAATAACATTATGGATAAAACAGGGTTGTTAAAAATACAAACATTATATAAAATATAAAACAACAGCTGATGTAATATTAGTTTTGACCTGAGATTGATGATCAGTGTTGTCTGAAGGTTAAGCACATGCTTTCACTGAACATTAGAAGTTTCAGACCTTGTATATCAACTCTACACAGATGTAATAAATGGTGATTAAGCCATTAATTTATTCTTTAAATTTTAAAGATAAAACTATATAAATTAAATAAATGATGTAAATCTTTATCTGGTTAATAAAATTCATAGTGTCTTGAAAGTCATCTGCCATTAATCAATTCATTCCCTGCATGTTCCATACCAAAGGCTGCATTTATTTTTAGAGAATACATTCAAAATGTTAAATATAAGAATTTTGGGACCCACTTTATATTAAGTGTCCTTAACTACTATGTACTTACAATTTATATCTATTTACTTAAAGTATTACAGTATTACTTCTATTTGAAAATACTGTTCTGTAATTACATCCGTAATTCATTTCTGTAATTACAACTATAATTACACTGTTGACCCTACCTCTACCCCTTAAACCTAGCCAAACCACCTAATCTTATCCATATACCCCTCCATAGCAGCAAAAGTGTTTTGCAATTCAACATGAAAACAATAGGTATGTTGTATCTAACAATTCGTCATTTTATTATCATGTACATAGTATTTAAAGACACCTAATATAAAGATTTGTTCTACAACAATTTCCAAAAAGTTTCTGATTCTGTTTTTCCCCAGTGAATGGAGATGAAAGGTGGGAAATTTTGGGTCTGTGATCAATTCTGCTTACAGTTCATCTGGATCACTATAAACTTATAAACTACTACACAGATGACATAACTCACACATAACTCTACACAGATGTAATAAGGGGTGATTAAGCCATTACTTTAATATATAAATCTAATAGATAAAACAGGGATAAAAATGATTTTATAAATCTTTATCTGGTTAATAAAATGCATAATGTATTAAAATTATCTGCCATTTTTCCCCTTAAAATCAATTAATTTTCTCCTCCTTGTTCCATGCAGAAAGCTCCATTTACTTTTAGGGAATATACTGAAAATGTTAAATATGAAAATTTTGTTCTACAACAATTTTCAAAAATGTCCTGATTCCATTTTCCCCAGTGAGTGGAGATGAGAGGTGGGACACAAGGTCTATGGGAAGTTCTGCTTACAGTTCATCTGGATCACTATCAGGAGCAGACATCGGTTCAGTTTTTAGCTCATCACAATCAAAAGTCTCATCACACAGCTCAAAATTTGGGTCTGTGGAACATTTAGGGACCAAAAGAGCACATTGTGTGCCCAATGTCTCAAAACTTAAGCATGATGAGGACACTGAGAAGACTTGAATACTAAATTAATGTGGTGACTGTATAATACTGACTTTGTAATTTTTACATCATAATGTATCTGTCAGATTCTGTTCCTTGTTTTGGGTGTGTTTTGCTCCCCATGTGCCTTTCATGCCCTTATTTGGTCCTTCCTGTTCCTGTCCCCATTTAGTTCTATTAGTTCCAGGTGTTCCTTGTTATTAGTTATCCCCCTCCCCTGTCTGCCCCTCAATATCTGCCCTATTTGAGTTCTAGCCCGTTCTGTTCTCCCTTGTCCGGAATTGTATATGTCTACCCTTGCTACGTGTGTTTCCTTGTTCCCTGCATGTTATTAAAACCTATATGTTTGAATTCCACTCCTCGTCTCCTCGCTCCTTTGTCTCCGGGCTCACTCAAGCCCGCTGGCTGTTCCCGAGTCAGGCCCGCCGGCCACCGCAAGGACAAGCACTTCACGGCCACCCAGTTCACCCGTAATCAGAAGAGGAGAAAGAGGAGAAATGACTGGCTCAGGGTCCTCTTCCGCGCCCGAGTACTCACTCCAGTGTCGGCTCCAGCCCCAGAGCTCCCTGCAGTGTCGGCTCCAGCCCCAGAGCTCGCTCCAGTGTCGGCTCCAGCCCCCGGATCTAGCCCAGTCACGGCTCCCCGCCCAAATTGTTATTGTGGTCTCTTCCACCTCTTGACCTTCTTGACTGTATCTAACAATGAATACAATGTCATCATTTGAGATATCAAATATCTCTCTCTATATAATTTCATAGGAAATTATTTTATAAGTCCTATCTGGTTAATAAAGCGTTGTTGCATAATGTTTGGAAAGTCACCCATCATTGATTCTCTTGACAAAAAAAAAATTATTTGCTTCATGTACTTATTCCATACAGTAGGCTACATTTACTTTTAGAGAAAACTGAAACCATTAAAATCAGATATTTTTCTACAACAGTTTCCCACAAAATTTTATTCCTTCATTCATTCATCCTTCCATCCAGTGTGTGAAGATGACAGGTCAGACGCATTGTCTCTGGGAAGTTTAGCTCATGGTTCAGTTGTATCAGGAGCAGAAAGCAGGTCATATTTTGGATCATCACGTCCCAGAGATTCATGGCACACCTCAAAATATGAGTCAGGGGTCCTGAAAATATGTAACAGCATGGAATTACCAACAAACTGTGAGTGTCTTTTGTTTTATTCAGAACTTTCTACCATTGCTGTACACTCTGGTTTCCCATTATGAACTGATATTGAATTAAGTGTAGTGTAATACAATTCCCCATTAAAAAAAAGTGGAGTCTTTCTTATAGCATGGTAAGAAAAGATAAGATATAGCATGATTAGATTCTTTAATTCTGGAAAATATAATTTTGTTGAAAAATAACATTATGGATAAAACAGGGTTGTTAAAAATACAAACATTATATAAAATATAAAACAACAGCTGATGTAATATTAGTTTTGACCTGAGATTGATGATCAGTGTTGTCTGAAGGTTAAGCACATGCTTTCACTGAACATTAGAAGTTTCAGACCTTGTATATCAACTCTACACAGATGTAATAAATGGTGATTAAGCCATTAATTTATTCTTTAAATTTTAAAGATAAAACTATATAAATTAAATAAATGATGTAAATCTTTATCTGGTTAATAAAATTCATAGTGTCTTGAAAGTCATCTGCCATTAATCAATTCATTCCCTGCATGTTCCATACCAAAGGCTGCATTTATTTTTAGAGAATACATTCAAAATGTTAAATATAAGAATTTTGGGACCCACTTTATATTAAGTGTCCTTAACTACTATGTACTTACAATTTATATCTATTTACTTAAAGTATTACAGTATTACTTCTATTTGAAAATACTGTTCTGTAATTACATCCGTAATTCATTTCTGTAATTACAACTATAATTACACTGTTGACCCTACCTCTACCCCTTAAACCTAGCCAAACCACCTAATCTTATCCATATACCCCTCCATAGCAGCAAAAGTGTTTTGCAATTCAACATGAAAACAATAGGTATGTTGTATCTAACAATTCGTCATTTTATTATCATGTACATAGTATTTAAAGACACCTAATATAAAGATTTGTTCTACAACAATTTCCAAAAAGTTTCTGATTCTGTTTTTCCCCAGTGAATGGAGATGAAAGGTGGGAAATTTTGGGTCTGTGATCAATTCTGCTTACAGTTCATCTGGATCACTATAAACTTATAAACTACTACACAGATGACATAACTCACACATAACTCTACACAGATGTAATAAGGGGTGATTAAGCCATTACTTTAATATATAAATCTAATAGATAAAACAGGGATAAAAATGATTTTATAAATCTTTATCTGGTTAATAAAATGCATAATGTATTAAAATTATCTGCCATTTTTCCCCTTAAAATCAATTAATTTTCTCCTCCTTGTTCCATGCAGAAAGCTCCATTTACTTTTAGGGAATATACTGAAAATGTTAAATATGAAAATTTTGTTCTACAACAATTTTCAAAAATGTCCTGATTCCATTTTCCCCAGTGAGTGGAGATGAGAGGTGGGACACAAGGTCTATGGGAAGTTCTGCTTACAGTTCATCTGGATCACTATCAGGAGCAGACATCGGTTCAGTTTTTAGCTCATCACAATCAAAAGTCTCATCACACAGCTCAAAATTTGGGTCTGTGGAACATTTAGGGACCAAAAGAGCACATTGTGTGCCCAATGTCTCAAAACTTAAGCATGATGAGGACACTGAGAAGACTTGAATACTAAATTAATGTGGTGACTGTATAATACTGACTTTGTAATTTTTACATCATAATGTATCTGTCAGATTCTGTTCCTTGTTTTGGGTGTGTTTTGCTCCCCATGTGCCTTTCATGCCCTTATTTGGTCCTTCCTGTTCCTGTCCCCATTTAGTTCTATTAGTTCCAGGTGTTCCTTGTTATTAGTTATCCCCCTCCCCTGTCTGCCCCTCAATATCTGCCCTATTTGAGTTCTAGCCCGTTCTGTTCTCCCTTGTCCGGAATTGTATATGTCTACCCTTGCTACGTGTGTTTCCTTGTTCCCTGCATGTTATTAAAACCTATATGTTTGAATTCCACTCCTCGTCTCCTCGCTCCTTTGTCTCCGGGCTCACTCAAGCCCGCTGGCTGTTCCCGAGTCAGGCCCGCCGGCCACCGCAAGGACAAGCACTTCACGGCCACCCAGTTCACCCGTAATCAGAAGAGGAGAAAGAGGAGAAATGACTGGCTCAGGGTCCTCTTCCGCGCCCGAGTACTCACTCCAGTGTCGGCTCCAGCCCCAGAGCTCCCTGCAGTGTCGGCTCCAGCCCCAGAGCTCGCTCCAGTGTCGGCTCCAGCCCCCGAATCTAGCCCAGTGAGGGCTCCTGTCCCTGAGTTTAGCCCATAGAGGGCTCCTGTTCCTGAGCTTATCCCACGGAGGGCTCCTGTTCCTGAGTTTAGCCCGGTGAGGGCTCCTGTCCCCGAGTTTAGCCCGGTGAGGGCTCCTGTCCCCGAGTTTAGCCCAGTGAAGGCTCCTGTTCCCGAGTTTAGCCCACGGAGGGCTCCGGTTCCTGAGCTTATCCCACGGAGGGCTCATGTTCCTATATCTGGCCCACGGAGGGCCTCAGAGCCTGTAATCTAGAGGGCCTGTAGAGGCCTCGGAGGCGGCTCTGCCATGGCTTCCTAGTCTGCCTGCACCGCCATGGCTTCCTGAACTGTCTGCTCTGCCATGGCTTCCTAGTCTGCCTGCTCTGCCATGGCCTCCTAATCTGCCTGTTCCGCCATGGCCTCCTGAACTGTCTGATCCGCCATGGCCCCCTGAACTGTCTGATCTGCCATGGCCCCCTGAACTGTCTGTTCTGCCAAGGCCTCCTGGACTACCTGCTCCGCCATGGCGCCCCGAGCTGCCTGATCTGCCATGGTGCCCCGAACTGCCAGATCCGCCATGGGTCCTGGAACGGGTGCCGCCCTGGAGGCCTTCCGTCCTGGAACCCTGCTCCTAGAGGCCTCCAGAGCGCCCCCCCCCCCTCCCTGTTGGATGTTGTACGGCGCGGGACGCACCTTCCGGGTGGGGGGAGTAATGTCAGACTCTGTTCCTTGTTTTGTGTGCGTTTTGCTCCCCATGTGCGTTCCTTGCCCTTATTTGGTCCTTCCTGTTCCTGTCCCCATTTAGTTCAATTTGTCCGGAATTGTATATGTCTACCCTTGCTATGTGTGTTTCCTTGTTCCCTGGATGTTATTAAATCCTATATGTTTGAATTCCACTCCTCGTCTCCTCACAGTAGTGAACCGTGACAGTTTCTAACTTTATTATAAATCTGTTTTGTAGATTTCAAATGACTGTATAAAAATATCTAAACAAAACTGCTGGGTAACACATAAAACAAATGTTTTACAAACCTTCCTGTTACAGGTTGTGTCTGTGTGTGTGTATATATATATATATATATATATATATATATAT